GGTTTTGTTGTTATTGGAGGTTGATTAGTTACTATTGGAGGCTAATTGTAGGCCGAGTAGTTACTATGAGACCTAGTTGGAGGTCGAGTTGGTGGTTTAGTTTTGGCGCGGGGTGCGATTAACGGTTGGACAACTTTTTGGTAATGTTCAACTGAATTAAGGGAATATCTATCATCACACTTGACAAAGCACTTTTTCTCGCAACCTTAAAATAATTATTTTATTTATTTGGTATAGTATTAGAATAATAAATATTTCTACTTTAAAATATTATACGAACCGTAGCAAGTATTAATCTTCATATGCTATGGTTGTATAAAATATGTGAAGTGTTTTATTTTCTACAAATATGAACTTGAGTAATTGAATTGTTTGCCCTATTTTTTTATTAAAAATAATCTAAGCAAATTTTTTTTGATCGATATTTCTAAAGCATAGTTCTTATCTAGTAAAAATAATGAAATTATTTAATTTATGTGCCGTCTCTTTACCCTTATTATGTTTATTTTTATTATTTTTTAAATATAATTATTATTTTATTTTTATCTAAGCATAATTTCGCGCCAGATTATTGTAGAATCAGAAACAATCTCATATTGGCAAAGTTTAAAGATGGACCAGTCAGTATAATTCAGAGATGTTAGATTATAAATTGAAAAAATTTATATTTTAAATAATCATAATCAAAACAAATTATTTCATGTATTTTAAATATGCATTAGTAGAAGCTATCGATAGCAATAAGGATAATATTGGGAAACTTTAAAAGCCTCATTTTAAAAATAAATTAAAAATGGTAAAAAATAAAAAAATCAAATGATTAGTCTTAATAAATTTAAATTGTATATATATATTAAATAAATTTGTGACCTGTGGCTAATATAATGTGTTAAATGTATATCCATTATAAATAAGTAAAGATGCAATTAAATTAACAAGATGGCATATATTTTAATGGTAAAATAAAAATTAAAATATTTGAATTACAAATTAATAAGAAAAAATTTAATGTAATATTGCCAAACTAATTTCATAAATTTTTTTTTCCTTCAAAACTTTTTCAGCGAAGATAATATCGTTGATAATATCGCTAATTTACCGCTTGTAGTGCATACATTTTGGGTGAAATCTTTATCGCGGAATCCTTGAGAGAAAATTTTTAACCGCGATTAAAATTTGCTAGTATTAACGATAAACAATGAACAAATGCATTTATTTAAGGAAAATCAGCATGGAATATCAATTTATACCCATAATAAACTCAGAAATGTTTTAAGGGTATTTCGCTACTCATTATCAATTAAAATAAATATGCAAATTGGGTGATCTTTATCATATGTGAGGTTATAATTTAGCAGTTTCTTTCTTACAATAAAGAATGTTTAAGGCCGTATAATTTCTTAGAAATCATATGTTTACCAATAAATTTGAATATAATAAATAAAGGTTTTGAAAGTTTGGATATTACAATTCAAGATGCATTGCCTCTATTAACATTCTGTAAATCGCGTAAAATGCTAAACCCCTTATTCTTAGTCTATAAATACCAATTTCATGAACAAATTATAACTGACACTATACGCATATATTGACGGATAAACCAACCGAATAATACATGATTACCAGATTTGTTATGAGATACTTTTTTTAAATGGAATCTAGTTACAGATACATCGTCTAAAAATGAATCTAGATACGGGTAATAAAATTTTTACATATGTATCTATAAACAGATACCATTTTTTCCATACTTTTATTCACCGTTGTTCTCGAACAAAAACTCTTACTATGAGAGCACAAAATATGTAAACAAGATAATAATAAAAAAAATTGTCAATAACCCTATTTTTATCGTTTTTTCCAACGAATTCTCCTTTACGAACGAGCATTTGTTTATAATTTATTCATTAAAAGTTATTGTATCCAATAAAATTATTTTAAAAAAAATAATAAATTTATTTGGTTATAATAATTTTGTGCACCAATGGTATTGTTTTTAATTATTAATGGGTGACGTGGCTAAGCGAGGATTTATATATAGTGCCAACATATTTGAGCCTTTGCGTTTGCAGTATAGATTAAAATATCCTGCACAATTTTGAACTGATATCTATAGATTTAAATGGGAAAAATAAAATATTATTTAATGAATATTTATATTATATTTTTTTTACATTTAAATTTTAATATTTTATAATATATAAGTTTTAATATTTTAAGCATATATCTTTTTCATATTATATTGATCTTAATTTTTTTTTTAAATATATATTTATTTAAATTATATGCTCATATGAAAAATAAAATGAATTTTGCATTCAAATATTTTTATTTTTAATATAAAAAAGTGTATAAAAAAATGTATCTTAACAGATACAGATCCCTCTAAAATATTATCTAGATTTAGTTACAGATACTTTTTTAAATAAAATTGTATCTAGATGATACCACATTTTTATATCTAGATATTTTAACAACTGATCAGAGTTTTTTTTCCTCCCGTAGTAAGGGCAGGCGGGTGGGTTAATATATTTCCCGTTTCGGATCTCTAATACAGACAGGAAAATAATTCCCATGTATTTTATACAAATATAATTATACAAGATTAATTTTAATTATAGAAACGAAATTCTAATTTTCTATTTTTTTTTAATAATAATAATATGAAAAATAACTTAATTTTTTTAATTGCATTTATTTTTTTAAAAAAAAGACGTTAAAGAGAAATTACTTTTCTTAATACCATATTTATCTAAACATATTAATTAATACATTTCCCAAAACAAAAATAAAATAAAATTATAACCCCCACTCCCTTCGACCAAATTAGAATTTATATCGAATTCGATATTCGCGGAAATTAAACGCGTCTTATTCGGGCGGTGATGGAAACGAACCCTAGACGTGAATTCAAATCCCAAATACCCATTCCAGACACGGGTGCCTTTCGTAAAAATGCGACGTCTAACCACGACAACGCAAGCAGTAACAATCGTAAATTTTTAGATTGCGAACAGGGCCGCGATCATTACCTCGGAGATAACGAAGGTTCCGAAAAGTTGGCAGCGAATCGCCACAACCAGGAAAACTCGAGTAATAACGGTAATACCAGCATCATCCCTAAAAACGCGAATCAAGTCGAATCCAACGAAACATCCTCCTCCCTATCCTCCTTTTCGTCCCTAAACCTGAAGAGCCCGGGGTCCCAGTTATCCCCGCTGCTGTCCCCCTCGAACGAATTTATTGATAACGGCGACAACGCCTATCACCTATCACCCAATTATGCTCAAAACTATAAGCAAACCGATGCCCATAATTCCGAGGGTCCATTTGAACAGGCTCCTCCGAGAGAGGAGCTGAGAATCGGAGATAGGGTGGCCATCAAAAATAGCGATCCCGTGGCGAAATTACTAGATAAATCGAATCTTTATGCCAATAATAGCCTTCGTCCTAATAATTCTTCAAATTTCAGTAGCATGGCGAGCGATCTGAATGCCCTAAGCAATAGCGTAGTCAACTTGACCGAAACCGGGGAAGGGAGAAATATGAAAGCCGGGATCGTAAGATATATAGGCCCCATAGATGTTTCTCCCGGATGCTGGGTGGGCGTGGAGCTCGACCTAAACTTGGGGAAAAATGATGGGAGAGTTAAGGGTAAAAGGTTTGATCCTTTTATTTTTTTTTTTAAAAATATATTTCTTTCCTTTTCCACACCTTTTTCATTCATTCATACTCTTACTAATATTATGATCCATTTTTGGAACTATGATACTTAATAAAACATGGCTTCTCATTACCCATCTCGAGTGTAGGAAAACAGAAAGATAGAATGAAGGAATATTTACAATGAACAGGAAAAATCGATAATATATATTTTTAAAATTTACAAGGGAAGTGGGAAAGGGCTTATCAATCAATGATACCTTTCTTATAGTTTGAGTTTTGAGACTGTTGGAAATGGGAAAACCACTTCAAAGAATCACCTTATACAGATAAATGGCCGATATAGTGGTAATTTGAAGAGAAATAAAAAAATAGTAAGCTAATGCAGGATTGGCAAGTCAGTTAATTGACAGGTCAAATTCAGTCACATGTCAAATAAGGTCAAATGCTTTAAAAGATTGTAAGATTTATTTGTTCACAATATCAAGGGTAGCATCTGACTGAAAGTGAAGTAAGTGATATAATACAAGAATTGGGCATTTTGCAAGGTGGTGATGATCAAATTATTTCAAGAGATAAGAGGCATGTTTAATTGCATTGTGGGAAGCAGTAACTTCCATAAGAAACAATCAGATTTCGGAATCATATTCAAAAATTTAATGTATCGATAAAAATTTTACAATACTTCGGTATATTTAGGCCAATCATTTTGTTTGCAATTCCGAAATTTATTATCATCGAAAGAAAAACAACTGTTTAAATACGCTACATTTAAATGAAAAATTTTAGGTACAGGCCCATTAAAACCAGGCCCGCCAAAAAATCTAATCTTGGACCCTACTCGTCCCATAGGTATTGGCTCATGGGCCATGAAACGACCCAACTTACGAAGGTGTGAGCAATATACACATTGGCTGGACCGGTCAATCTGAAATTAACCAGCCGGGTCCAGCAAAAAAATTTTGGGGCATGGTCGTGGGCTGAGAATTTTATCATGGACCTCTAGTATACACATTTAAATCAAAAATACATGGATCACTTTTTTTAGTCCTATTTTAGGTAAAATTCTATAATATAATAGGCAATAATTCCCCCTCCCCCGATATTGTATTACACATAGATACTTCACGTGCAAACCCAACTACGGTATCTTCGTGAAACTCGAGAAAGTGGTCAAACTGCCCCATGATAACAGCAATATATACCATAAAATTTCCGATAACTTCAATACTTTCCGCAACGACCTCGTTTCAAACCGAAGGACCACGATCGCCGGAGTCTGTCTTACCGGCTGGAACAGGAACAGGTTTTACAACTCGACGACGCATTTGGCGCCTATGGGCAGTCAGGAATCGCTAGGGAGCGAAGCCTCATTCTTGAGTTTGAATCCGTCTAACGTACGCAAAACGCCTTCCTCATTGTCCGGCATCAATAAAGGGACAGATAGAATTACGATGAGCCAAAAAAGTAATTTATTTTGGTGATAAAATAAATAATTTTTTTGAACTAGCCAGAAAAATTTTTGTTATATTTTTTTAAAAACCTATTTCATTTCAGTAAGGAATATAGTTTAGTTACGGCTGAAAATAGGCAAATTTGGCTAAAGCTATAGCAGTGTTGTTGGTATATATGGAACCAAGAAATATTTTATCTGTATATCTAGATACATTTTTATAAAGTATCGGTATCGCGATCCATTTTAAGCGCTCTCTTTATCTATTTATCAATACAATTTGTTAGTTTATTTCTTTCCAATCGAAAACACGTTTTAGTTAACACAATTTTATGACGAAAATACGATTAAATGGTGTTAATAAATAATCTTTATATACTACAAATTTTTCGATGATTAATATTAGCGATTACCCGAAGAAGAAGAAATAGAGGAAAACAAATCAAAATAGCAACAATAATTTTTTTTTCAAACTTGATTGGACTACCTTTCGCATGGCAGAAAATTTAAAGATTAAAAAGAATAACAGATACCGCTATTAGTCTATGAACTTTCAAAGTTTACAGATTTTGCTAAGGAGAAAATCGCATAAAAAAAGATCACAAGAATTAATATATTATTTTTTTTACCAACGCCATTAAAAATGATTATTCTAAACATGAGTGTCGTTATTGTACTATACCTAAAAAATTATCCTAATATAAAGAGGTTATTCATAAAGTATAACACTACACTTCCTTCCAGCTTCCCAGTTGTAAGATTTTTTTTTTAGTATGGTTAAAAATGTGTTTACGGATGAATGGGGATATGCTTCTGTGCTGAAAGCTAAAGCTTTGATATTTGGTTTATTATTGTCAAAAGCTAAAATCATATTTTATAATCATTTTGTTATATATTTTAATATTTGGTTTACTTCAAAGATCTAAGTTTTAACAAAAGATCTTCAATTTCGACATTATTCACGCACGATACATGAATATAATAAAAATGTATCTTGGTAAATTGGTAACTGAAGATATATTTGAAAGTAACTTACTAACAATTTAGGTCCAAAAGCTGTGTATCAAAAAAAATACGCAAAGAATTGAGACGCATGTTTTTATAAGTTTCTTCAAAGTTGGATTATCAAAGGATGCTATGTGAATTTTTTGACCGAAAAATAAATTTTAGCCGTTTCAACTAGCCGTTTAAAAATTGGCTTGAAAGAACAATTATCCAACCATAGCTAAGGTATTTTCAATATGGAGTTGGGCAAAAACAACAAAACAAAAAAAAACATGTTTTCAAATGCTTTCCCTTTTCTTATTACACTCAGTATCCACATCATTCCACTAGGAACTCAAAATTTTAATAATAAGCAGGATGGTATAACATAAAATTTTGCTATTTATTTTAAAAAAATGTATATATTTGAAGAACTAATGCACGATAACATAGCCACTAAAGGTAAGGACGATTATGCCTCTACAGTAATGATGTTGCGAATGGAACTGGATAAATGCCGGAAGTGTTTGGAAGGTCAGAAAGTCGAAATAAATCGTCTCACGACTCTAATGAAAGAAGTTTATATAAAATAATATTATTAAATTATGAGGTTTTTAAAAAAATATTTTTTTATTTATATTTGTTGACCATAAAAATTTCTTTTATAAATCGATCAGATCCCGCCATTTTTGAATTTTTTTTAAAAAAACCCGGAGAAAATGCCGACCCGGTCTTTCCGTGTCAGCTCGACCGATCAGATAACACATCGGCACACCCTATATGGGTCGGACAAGAACATTCATGCATAGTTAACATATGTTTTGAAAATACAAAAGTTTTTTGGGGGGGGGGGGTGGAAGTAGTTATGAGGAAAATTTATCAAAATATTATATAATTATAGATATAAATATTATTTAAAAAAATTTGTATTTTGAGATATAAAGCAATATTTTTTTATAAAAAAAAATTGCTAGAAAAGATGTAAGGTATATTACAATAAAAAAAACACAAAATTAATGCCTGATCCATTAAAAGACATAAGTGCTAAAGGGACCGGGGCAGGGTTGGATCAAAAATTTCCAAAACAACTATAAATTTTCTGAACCCGTACCCGTAAATAACACATTCCTCAACACGTCACGATGCATAATTATTATTTATTTTAAAAAAAAAAGAAAAGCGAACAATTCGATTGCTTGAACCAAGATTACGTAGATTTTAAACACAGCAGCGAAGAAAAAATTTCGTTCCTTCATTCCCAAATCGAGGATTTTGAGAAGCAAAACGATGATTTGGAGATCAAATTCAAGGAAGAACAACAGTAGGATTATTATTATTATTATTATTATTATTATTATTATTATTATTATTATTATTATTATTATTATTATTATTATTATTATTATTATTATTATTATTATTATTATTATTATTATTATTATTATTATTATTATTATTATTATTATTATTATTTATTATTATTATTATTATTATTATTATTATTATTATGTCTTTTGACGTTACGTCGTTTACTTTTCGTAACGATTGTATTTTGACAAAACTGTCAAATGTATTTTATGATCAATTTTTTTTAAATTTATTTATTTGATATTAATTTTATTTTTAATTATATTCATGCATGACAATAAGGATATATCGATTTTAATAAACAAAAAATTGATCTCATTGAAAAATTTTTTTTAAAAAAATCGATCAGCTGTTGAATGGTATCGGCTCGGACCCTACTATGAATACAGCCCTTAGACATGAATTGGTATTAATTTTAAAGGGAGTATTTATTTTACGGCACCTGTCACAGATATAGCTATTTTAATGATTGTCATTTATTTCGACAAAGTCCACATCCAAGAATTATTTTTTTATAATTTTACTATTCTCTCTGCATAAAACAAAAATTCGGAATATGTATAAACAGATAAGTTCTATTTTGGCCAATATAAGGCTATATACAATGATAGAAAATAATAGAAACATAATTGTTAAAAATTTCCCTCCAAATGGAGATGGAATAATCTAATTAATTGTCAAGCGCCGATAAGTAAATATTAAAGTTATAGAAGTTATACTAAATCAAAAAAATTTTTTAAGAATCTATTGGATAACATATAAATATATAAAACTAAACCATCCTTATCCTTTTTGACCAGATTAAAAATTTTATATTTCGTTATTTCTAAAAAATTATAATGACATACAAACTCAACCCGTTGAAAAATTTGGCATCCTTAGCTAAAAATGTTAGAAGTATGTTATTTTTTTTTGCCATCGGTCTTTATGTTTATCGAAAACTAAATTGAGCTGAATAAATTGAAACCGATTGAAACTAAGGTAGAAATTCTGAAGAATTTTACACCAATATCTACTGCTTCGAGCCAGATATATTAACAGAACAGACCTTTTTTTATTTCATAAGTTTTCAGAATTTGCGAGCTTCTGTATATTCTAGAGTTTGCTAAGATGACAAAATTTCTTTTACCTATTTGATACAATAAATAAAATGACAGGTTCATCCTTATAATAAATGAGAAAAGATTTTTTTTAAAAAATTATCACGTGACTTTGCTTAAAATTTGGGAAGGGAACCCTATTCGGAAAGTTTCGAATGGTTATAGTATATTTTATCCGCCAAAATAAAATTGATTGTTTTTTTTTGATTCCTTGGGCAAAATCCGAACTAACCTTTATACCATTTTCTAAACAAATCCAACCGGTTGGAACCCCTTTAAAACCGTTAAATCTAAATATTTTAATCTTTGCTTGAGTGCGCACTTTTTTGAACCGGGTCTCAATATAATTATTCGGGTTCGGTTAAAATAAAGTTGATGTTCTTCCCAATTCCGGTTACTTTCAATTTGATTTTAAAATATCATAAAATTTGAGGAAACGCGAAGATGCAGAATTTCAATTGGAAGAGCTGTCAATCATGAAAGACGAGAACAATCGAAAAGAAAAGTGTACCTTAAAATCCGATTCGATGGGCGTTAATAACGCGGGTGAAGCTATCAGCGAGGAAGTGTTCGTGGATTTAGAGGGGGATTTGATACTGAACGAAAAAATTCGAGAAAAAGGTTAGAAGCAAAATATTTGTTTTTGAAAATAAAAATGTCCACAAAATCTAAGGAACCGAGCGGAAGCGTGGCCATTTTTATAAAAAAATGGCACATCCGGTTATTTATAAATAATAAATTAAGTTAGCATATGCTTGAAAAGGTTTAACGGCTGATTGAGTTCGTAAAATCTTTTAACGTTTGTCTTTATTAATAGTAATAATTCTTAATTCGTCAAGATTGGGATTAAAGATAATAGTTAATATCTAGAAAAAATTGATTCTATTAAAATATTTTATAAACAGTCCTGATCAGCTGTTGCATTGTGATTGCGGACTTATATATTGGCCATTTTTCGTCAATTTATTTATTAGCAGTTTAGAAGTCAGGGTTCGGTTGATTCAAGGGCCTCGTTTTTTTTAATAAAGTGTCCAGAAATTTCTTATAGATTTTATAACTTCCTGTAAATCTTATTTCTGCCATATTTTTTTTCACTTGCAGATGAAAAAATACAAACACTTTACACCGAGAATGATTCATTGAAATCAAAGATTGAAAGTATGAAATTAATTTTATTTTGGATACAATTTTTAACCCCCTTCCTTCTCTCACCATGACAAATATATTTCTAAAAAAAATTTATTGTAGAACTGGAGAACGATTGGATAGAACTCAATAATGAAAGACAATCTTTAATGTTAGCCAACTATGATTTGGTAAAAAAAAATTAAAATTGTAATTTTTTTTTAAAAAATATATAAGAAAGGAAGAAAAAAGGTGGAAAATGAAAAGAAAAGAAAATATATAAAAGAAAAGAAAAGAAAATATATAAAAGAAAAGAAAAGAAAAAAAAAGAAAAGAAAAGAAAAGAAAAGAAAAGAAAAGAAAAGAAAAGAAAAGAAAAGAAAAGAAAAGAAAAGAAAAGAAAAGAAAAGAAAAGAAAAGAAAAGAAAAGAAAAGAAAAGAAAAGAAAAGAAAAGAAAAGAAAAGAAAAGAAAAGAAAAGAAAAGAAAAGACATGAGTATAAATAAATGTTTACAGATGAATCTAATATTTAGACGTGAATGATCTAAAATCAGTGCACAGATTATCTTTTTTTTTTGGTTTTTTTAAAAATTTTATTTCACTATAATAAGAAACTAATTTATTATTGGTTTTGACCGGGAAAGCACAAACAACGTGACTTATGATCTCAACTATGTCGTATCATATGAAAGACTATGTCCGAACACGCATATAATTTTATTTATTAGTTATTTTAAAACTATTTAAATGTCATTAATTAGCTTAAGTAGACCCATTTTAGCCTAATTAATAGCGTCAAATCTAATAATATAAAATCGTTAAGTACTTTTCCGCATTCTAACACAGGTTTAAGCTAAGTTTTGCAAAATCGGCTTATTTGACCAGTTTGAACTTACCCAAAACCCGAAAGATTTTAACCCTAAGGAATAATTTGACATCGAAGGAAACCGAGAGAAAAAAATCAATATTTGCTCTCTTAAGACTTATCTGATTGTTTTTCGGCACAAATCCTTAAGATTGACTGGATTTTAATTCGCATTTGCTACATTATACGTTTTTATTTAAGAAACACATGCTTATTTGTTTATTTTTCTTTGCCCACTTCAAGCAAAAGGCTATGGATTCCCAAAAGAGTGCAGACGACTTCTAGACCCATTTGGGACAAATAAATAAGGAACACGATGCTATTGCGGAAAAGGTAGAGAAATTGAATAAGGAAATCCTTGAAAAAAAAATACAAAAATGATTGAAAATGATATTAACATGTTTTTTATTGAATAATTTCGCAATCCAAAAACATGACAAAAAATAATTATTTTTACAAATTCAAAATTTAATAGTTTTTTTTTTTGGAAAAAAAATATTTTTTTATTGCGCATGGTCTCAAAAATATTGTTTAGACCAATTAGAAAATTTTTATCGGATTTTTCTTTTATCTATTTGGATCAAGATTATATTACTTAACAAGAAAAGGGTAACTTTGTTTATACAATTTACTTTCATATCAACAAGAAGAACATATTCCACTTTTAGATAAGATTTTCAATTTGGGTTAGACAATTTTTGTGTGTGTTAGAGCATGCGCGATAAAAATGTTTCGAGAATCATCTTTCTCTTTTTTTTCTAAAAAAAAACTAAAAACGCGCAATTTTTGATTTTTTGTATTTTGTAAAAAGAATTATTTTTTGTCTTGTTTTTGATTGTAAATTATTCAGTTATGAAAAAAACATGATAATACTATTTATAAAACTTTATTAGGATTTTCTCATTAAATTTCTCTATATTCTTCAGCATATTTTCCAAAATGACAACCAGTTCCCTATTGAATTGTTCTAGATCGTTCAAGAAGTTTGCACTCCTTCGGGAATTCATAGCCTTTTGCTTGAAGTGGGCGAAGAAGGAAAAAAACGATAATGTAGTGGAAGTGAATTAAAATGCAGTCTTAAGGACTGTGCTGGAAAGCATTCAGATATATCTTGAGAGCAAGTGTTGATTTTTTTTCTCGGCTTCCTATAGGGTCAAATTATTCCTTAGGCTAAAAATCTTGAACTAAGGCCCGGTTTTGGCATTCAAAACGGGTCAAATAAGGTAATTTTGCAACATTTGGCCCAAACCTCTGTAGGAATACGGGAAAGAACTTAGCGATTTTATAATATTAGATAAAATATATATAGGATTGACTAATTGGGTAAAAATTTACATTGATTAAGTTGAAAAATGAGATTAAATAGGTTATTATAGACCCTATAAATTAGGTTAGAAATGGGTCTACTAAAGTTAACAAATTAACATTTAATAGGTTTAAAATAACTAATAAATAAAATTATATGAGCGTTTCGGGATTGTACAATAGTATTTTGTTAGTTTTTCAGAGTTGAAACTCGTTGTGCTGATTTGTCATGAGCAGCTGTTAATGATCCAAATATTTTGAGCGTCTCGCAAAAAACTTTCTTCCCTATTAAACAATTTCCGCTGCCGTATAAAGTTTGATAGGGAATCAAATTAAATCATTTTTCTAATCTTTCTTGTTTTTGCAACATTGGGAACTCCAAGGAAAAGGTGTTCGTTTTGCAGGTCAAGGAAATTGACGAACAAAAAGAGGAACTAACCAACAAATGCCTCAAGGCGCAGGCTAGCATCGATTTATGTCATCAGAACTTCATGGAACTGGAGGAAAAATGCCATATATACGAAAAGAGAATCGAAGTTTATTTCCTTTTTTTTAAAATTATTTATAATGCATTAGAGATCGGCTCAAATCGGCTCCATAAGTTGTTTTCCCCATAAAAATATTTTTACGCATGTATTTCGCCCTACACCAAATCTTATCGAGCCGAGCCGATCTCAAATACCGATAAATTCGTGTGTTTATAACCTGCCTGAACGTCACTCGATATCTTACAGCGTTATGGCGCAGACTCGTAACTTCCCCAAATTCCTACCTTTGCCCTTAACGTGGTGGGGGGGGGGGAGGGTGACAACCTCTCCGGTTGGCTATTTGAGGTTTAGAAGGTTCTCTATGGCCTGGGATAGAGTGTAATTACCGTTCCTCGACGATAAAGCATCTACATTGGGTTGATGTCAGAAATAAAGAAAGAAAGAAAGAAAGAAAGAAAGAAAGAAAGAAAGAAAGAAAGAAAGAAAGAAAGAAAGAAAGAAAGAAAGAAAGAAAGAAAGAAAGAAAGAAGGAAAGAAGTGGATATCATATATAATATTTTCCCTTGCCATTTATTCATGTGGTTCATCGTGATCGATAAGAATCGCATGATGCAAAAATATTTAAGATTCGGCGGAGTGAACAATTGGTGGCGTGTTTGCTTCAAATTATTTTGGTAATGAGTTAAATATAGACTTTTGAAAGAAAGAAAAAAGAAGTCAGAATTATAGAAGATACAGAGGAAAATGGTGAGGGGATAAATGAATCAATGATCGTAATAAAAAGAAAATGAAATAATAATATTTATTTTTTGAATTTACGTTTCCGCCAAGGCGAACAACGCGGATTCCAATCGTAGATACGAGGAATTAAAGAGCCAACTCTTCGAGGAGATGCAAGTAAAATTAAAACTGGAAGCTCAGAAGCTTAAGCGAGACAGGAGTGAGGAAAATCGTGCTTACCGAGATAAAATAAAGCAGTTAGAAGCCATTAACGCGGAAGTTCTGGAGAAATTTGTATCTAGTTCTCAAAAAGTATGAAATTTATGACATTTTTTTTTGATTGTAAAAAAAATGGGTCTATTCTAATTTCTTTCATTTTTTTCATCAAATATTGTCATTTTGGCAATATCACATGTGTCCACAACATTATTCTAAAATTGTAATGATATTCAACTCTTATAAAATCGATCCCAAATGATATGACCTAAATATCAAAAATATAATTAATTAACTATTAAATTTAACGAAAAAAAGAGAAATAAGCTATTTTTGATGTAAAAATAAAATAGTGGCCTAAATCCCTTATTCGAATTTACGAAAGTTTATTAATATTTTAAAGTTAGATAAATTATAAATATTGTTAATTTTTTAATTTTATAAAAAAAAAGGACATTATGACAAAAATATGCAAAATAAAACTTTGAAATTTAATTTATGAATAATCATTATTATGTATGAACAAGATTCGTAGAAATTCATTATTATTATATGGTACCGGCAATTTGTTATTTATTTATTTTTTTAAACTTTGAATCATTTTTTGAGCGCGAATATATAAAGAACATTTGATTTTTACCAGAAATATATTCCATCATGTTATGGATTACCTTACCTTATGAATTAGTGTTGTTATATGGCTCGTTTTGGGCCGATTTTTCAACACGGCTAACTCAATATTTTAGCCAGAAAAATATTATCTAGGCCTCTAGATTTCGATAATATATGTCTAAACCTTTGTTCCTTCTATGAGCAAAATCTTCAGGCTTGCGTAATATTTTTCTAGATAAAATATTGAGTCAGCCGTTTTTAAAAAATTGGCTCCGAGCCGTTCTTTCTTTCTTTCTTTCTTTCTTTCTTTCTTTCTTTTAGAAAAATATTATCTAAGCCTCGAGACTTCGATAATACATGTCCTAGACCTTTGTTCCTTCTAAGAGCAAAATCTTCAGGATTGCCTTAATATTTTTTCTGGATGAAATATTGAGTCAGCCGTTTTTAAAAAATTGGCTCAAAACGAGCCGTTTAACAACTCCTCTATAAATTTCAGACAATATTTCTGTGAACTCTCCATCTTAATTTAATTTGTATTAGTTTTTATCAAAATTGACTTACGATTCATAAGATAGGTATTCTAAACATGCTGGAATATATTTCCGGAAAAATCAGATTTTTAAAATTAAAAAGCGTGCTCAAAAATAATGATTAAAAGTTAAAAAAATTGCACAATGCCTGATAAAAATCCATTTCCGCTAACATGTACCCAAAAATCTTCTCTTCTAACTATCTATAACGATTTTTAATCCACTTATTTTGGGCATAACATCTGATTCTAGTAGTTATAAGTTTCTACGGATCTTTCCTTTTTCCTTGTCATCCTTAGTCTCCAGCGTTACTTTTCGAATTATAAATAAATAAAAATGGCCACAAGAGTATCTATAAATACGTGTCAACTTATTAATTTTAGTTTGATATTAAAATAAAAAATAGGCGCCAAGCAATTATATATATTTTTTTTGAATTTTATTAAGTTTTTAAAAAAAATTAAATATAGAAAGAATTATGTTGGTGTTTTATAGGGCTTGAAAAAAAACAACGTATTTTTCGTGTTTTTTATTTACATCCCTTGATCGAATAAACGAGCATATCCCCTCATGAACTGTTGACTCTCTTTCCATCCTTAGAAGCCGTCCTGGCTTTAAAAATTTTTAAACTCCTCGAATTTAAATAGTAAAAACCTCCTTTTTTTTAAAAAAAAAATATTGATTGTATATTTTTAATTTTTTTTAAAACTCTTATACAGATGGAAAGACTTGATCAAAATTACAAGATGAAAGAAGTGGAGCTGCAAAATTTCTTCTCTATTAATGCCGGTTTAAACGAAGAAATTGAAAGGATTCAACAAGAATTGTAAAATTATTTTATTTTTTTTAATAAATTACAACAAAAAAAATGAATATTTCTAAGGTTAAGAAAGAAAGAAAGAAAGAAAGAAAGAAAGAAAGAAAGAAAGAAAGAAAGAAAGAAAGAAAGAAAGAAAGAAAGAAAGAAAGAAAGAAAGAAAGAAAGAAAGAAAATAAAGTTTCTACAATCTCTTTAAATGATACATTATCATCTTACCAAAATATTTCATTTTATTTATAATGTACCTTAAAAATTACCTATTTAGGGAAAGAATGGAAGTACTGTTTTTCTCTCTTAATCGAGAAAAGGCTGAAAGAGATTCGGAACTTGATGGCTTGAAGGCTACGATCGTAAATAAAATTCAAAATTATTGTTTTTCTTCTAAATTTTAAATTATCAGTCTATCATCTAGAGGACTTATTTCAATTGTTTTATTTAAGGTTTAATCAATGAGATAAATTAGATTTTTGGTTTAGTTTGAAATAAAATATTTTCATATAAAAAAATTATATGATCAGGATGAGCAAGAATCAATGATTCAAGCTTTGCGTTCGACGAACGAGAAATTAAGCGAAAAGGACATTTTAGTCAAAGAAAATTCGGAAGATGAAGATGCCGACTTAAACGGATTTTCTGATTCGTTCAAAGAAGACATCGATAACTTGAACATGGACAGCGCGATGGGTAGAGAAATATTTTATTTTTCCTTTATATACCTCTCAATCAATTTAATTTTGAGTAAGAAAAAGAAAAAAAAAACTCTGCTAATATTGTAAAATATTAGCCAATTTAGCTAATCTGTCATCGCAAAATTATATTTTACAACCCTGTGATATTTTTAAAATTTCATAATTAAAAGTTCTAACATAATATTAAGTGTTTTAAGAGGATACGTGTTGTAATTCATGAATTTATAACTGGTTGGAAAAATGATTTATATTTAGTTTTAAAAAAAACATTAATACATATTTACATTTGGGTCTGATTAATGGGCGGGTATAGTTTATATTAGTTATGGGCTAAGATCTGATGTTGACTAATGTCTATTCACCAAAAATATAATGCTAAAATATTCACAAATTTTTAAAATTCGTATAAAGAAAATGATATTATAACTATCCGAAAGAATGCATATAATGGGATTATTGTCATTATTTTTTAACATATGTGTCTATTTACCGACATGTTATACACATTTTCTATAAATTAAAAACCCTTTGAAATTCTTAATTTTTTGTTAAATCGTATGAAGGAGATTTCAAGAATTTAGCGGCATCCCTAAATCCCGAGAATTACGAAACCATGCACAAACAATGCAACCTGAAAGTAAACCAATCAGAAATATACCAATATCCGTTATCGACATCTGCCGAGACCACGGATCCGGTTGCCAAATTATTTAACCCGATATCATGTGGTATCGGTATGTCGGTAAAAATGTAGTGTCAATTGGTTATGTCAATAACATTTAGCGTCTTTTAGCTTCTCGTGGTTGTTATTCGATAAAGAAGATTTTCAACTTAAAAGTATCTTTGTTGGTATGAAAGAGTCTAACTCCGGATTCACGGTTAGCTCGAATTCGCGGCGGGAAAATATTGGCAAAAATAAGTATCGCCGCGAATTGACTTTAACTATGAATAGATGGTTACTCGGTATTGAGCCAATCAGACTAATCATCGTCTTTAACTTGGTTAGAGCTGGGATCTTATTTTTGAAAATGGCGGACACGAGGGGGCTCTAATAAAGTATATAGATCATCCTCGCATCTTCGAGAGTTTATGGTGAGTTTTAAAAGTAATAATTTAGGACAATATTCCATTTTTTCACTCTCCACATTTTTTTTTTAAGTGAATCATTCCAAAAAAAAAACAATTTGAGATAACTATGTTTTTTACAGTTATCAAGAAATTTAACCACCCGAAATTTTTTTGGAAAAAATTTGTCCTGCCCGCCCTATCCCGAACGGAGTTTTTATTTATTTTTCCCGAAAAGCAAACAATGGTATAATTAGCGTAATAATAGGTATTTATGTAAATAAATATTAGGGATGATTCGTTCTGGCTAATGTTGTTTATTGCTGTATTTTTGATTGACTAATATATTTGTAATAAAGAAATAAAGGCCTTAGGGACATCGAAGCCATAAAGGCCAAGATGTCCGGTTATTTCCATTGAAAGACTGGTCTGGCACAAAAATGATATCATATTTAAAAATTTAATCCCGACTCGGCCCGGCCTTAAAATATTTTTAAAAATATTGGGCCCGACCCAGACCGAACCGAAATTATTTTTTTTAAATATACCCGAGCTCGGCCCGAGTACGGGCAGGCCGTTATCACATCACATTTGTTTTTTAACAGCAAGAATTCCTCAATGCGGTCATCATTGGTATGAACGAACAGCTGGCCCGGCTTAACGCCAGACTCGATGAAATGAAGATGCTGAGCGAAGAATCTAATACGAGTCTCAATAATGGTGGTCGGGATTCGGAAAATCGTTTAAAATCCAATTCCTCCGATGAAGATGGATGTGAGTTTTATTTTTAACAATATGTAATATGTTTAAAAAAAGTTGTAATATATGTTTAAAAAAAGTTGGAAGAAAAGAAAGAATGAAAAAAAAAAAACAATAAAAGAAGAAAAATAACGAATGAAAAGAATGAAAAGAATGAAGCTAAAAAAAATGAACTATCTATATTATAAAATAGTTAAATGGAGAGACAATAGCAAATTCTGAGTTTTAAACTAAAGTCCGATTCAAATTTATTGAATCAATAATAAGCTATAAAAATGGTTAAAATATTATCACTTTCGGCCCGGTCTAATAATTAAAATTACGCCAGAGCCGGGGTAAGATCGAACCTATCTTCTCAATACGGTTGGTCGATACAGTCTCTCCACTCTGAGAGCTTTCACGCCTTTGCCATTTTTAACGGTATCTGTATCGTGTGTCTTCGTAAGGGAATAATTGTTATAGAACCATTGTGAACAACTTTGCTATTCGAGATTTTATAGCATCCCCATAACCCATAGCCAGCACCCATCTGAAATACCACAAATCTCCTTTTGATTTATAAGATTGTTTGTTGCGAACGCCATCCACGAATGTTGGGTCATCCTGGTTACCGATGTCGACAGCGTTACATATTTCTTGGTTAAATAATTTTGATTCGGCGTTTCTTGTGAAGGATTCGATTGGTCAGAAAGTAACCTATCTTGATTAATAAGGGGGGTGGGGAAGACTAGTTGGGGTTACGAATATTTAAAATATTATAGTTATAAAGATATAAGTTTTCCTTAAGATCTATTGATTTAAATGCAGGAAATATCTTGGATTTAATTTATATTATCCCTCTATGGTATTCCTTCAGATTTTCTCTTGTGTTTGTACGTATTTTAAATTATTTGGGCCGAATCTGAAAATATTTTAACAACTTTGTAATGAAAAAATTTTCGAACCGTTTTTGAATTTCATTGTTGTTTGAACCCAGAATTTGCCCAAGATATTATTTTCCGAGTGGATCGAACACAAAAAAGGAATGTAAATAAATAGAAATTTATTCTAGTAACTTATAAGCTTATTATTATTTAATTGGTTTTCACTATATACATTTAAAACCGTCTCCGAGGAAAATTTCTTACTTTTCTTTATTCGCTTTAGCTTGAATCCTCCCTTAAATATATTCGAGTTCGACCAACCGCACTTGTGTGTAGTTCTTATTATTTACCTATTTTTTGCGCGCAAATTCAAAAAAAATTTAAAGCGGTAAAACAGATTATTAAAGCACGAGAAAAATAAAAATATTTTTAAAAAAGTAATTTTCAAAAAAGAAAATTTGCATAAAGTTGAATCTCCTTGGTCTGGGTATATGAAGCTTTGGCTTTAGCGTATAGAACCTGGTCTGGCTCTATCCGGCTTTGAGTGGACCGGACTTGGAAGGACAGGTCTAGCCCCGACCTAATCTAAATTTATATTTTTGCTTATACAATAAATGCCGCCTTATAAAAAACCCCATTTATTTTATATTTTATTCATTCTAGAGTTCGATCATGAGCCTTGTTCAAATCCGTGAGACAATAAAATAGAAAACTTTGTTTTTTTTAAAAAAAACACAATTATTAACTTTTCCATCCAATTAAATATATTTTTATATATATAGCATTCCAAAATCAAAATTGTGTGTGTTTTTTATTATTTTGTAAAATATTATATAAAATAATAATTTTTTTTAAATTATGAAAATTAAATTCATATCTATAATGATTTATTTTATTTTTTTAAAGATTTTTTGTTTTTTTTTAAAAAAAAAAATGTATTTTATAAACTAAAACCGATAATTAATGTTATTTGACCTCTTAGTTTTTATATGCATATTTTAATCAATAATTCATGACGCAAAATTGTAATATAATCATTTGACATTTATATATTTAAATTATTTATTTTGGGTTACTGAAAAAAAGAATAATAAGAATATGGAAATACAAACAAATTTATTGGTAAATATTTATTTATAAAAATACATTTTGAATTTTTTGAACTATATGGAATGTATGATGACAATAACCTGACTTTAATTATGTTTTAAATAAAAAAGTTTGTAAATGGTTTCCTTTGTTTAAATTATTTTTTTTTAAAATACATTAATCTTAACCTAAAAATGATTTGTGTGTCAGACCTGCTGACCCAGAATCAATGTAAATGACAAGATGGATAGTCAAGTTTGGGTTTTAAAAGGGTTTATTTATAAGTGATAAGAAATTAAGCATGGGGGGGGGGAGGGTAAAGGAGTTAATTTTTTTGAAGGTTTATTTTTATGAACTTGTGGGCATATAAATGGAGGGACATAGCATTTTAGACCCATAGAATGGTGAAGAGGCATCCCGTCTTAGGAACAAAAAGCCTCAGGAAAATTGGGATGGGAAAGATTGATCAATATTTAAATTTTGGATTATAATTAGTATGGATAAATATTTTTTGGAGGATAGTTTAAGGGGAATAATGTTAAAAG